GACTGAAGCGGAGATAGCCAGCGGTGAGGCAGGCCAGTGAGGAGGGAGTTGCAGTAGTTGAGTCGTGATATGATGAGGGAGTGGATGAGCTGTTTAGCGGTTTCTGGGGTTAGGAACGCGTGTATTTTGGCGATGTTGCGAAGGTGGAGTCTGCACGAGGTTGTTAAAGATTGGACTATATAAATCCTGTATAATAATAATGCCCCAGTGACAGCAGTACGGGGAGAGGTTACGGTCACTTTTTTAAAAACAGCACAGCCATATGAGGATCCGCCCACACGACCATAACATTTATTCAGAGTTCTGTGAATGATCAAACTACAATTCCTAACAGCCTTTGCAGCTGTCGGTATGTAGTTCTCAATGAACTACCACAATGCTGCTGAACGCTGTGGTAATTCATTGACTCTTCCTATCAGACTGTATGTATGTGCACAGATACACTGATAGTTTGCAGCAATGCTTTCCAGGCTGAAAGGAAAAAAAAAAAAAAAAAAAAAAGTAAATGCACATTTTTTTTTTTACCTTTTAAAAAAAAAAATAGGCATTTATTTTATTTTTAGTGTGAACTTATCCTTTAAGAACAAAACCTTGAGACATTTGACTTTCTGTACTTTCTATATTTAAATGTGGAGTTCTTAGATTCAATGTTGCACAATTTATGGCAAAAGTAACCCAAGGATTTCAAAAGGTTGAATTTTTTTTTTTTTTTTTTTTTTGTTTACATAGAGGACCTGAAAAAAAAGCGGCGAGCTGGCCAGTGGGTGTCTGCTGTACCCACAGATGTGAGATCAAGTCTCTTGTCTGCCAGATCATTCAAATGTCATCTGTAGCGATATTAGCATTCAATTTTCAACTAATAGAAGTCTGTTAAAGAGGAGACCAGGGCAGATTTGATAAAAAGAGAAGTAAAACTTTATTTGTAGTGTATAAAAGTCGACAGTTTAAAACAATGTGACTAAATAAGAACAAATAGCAGCTGGTAGAAGGGAGTCTGCAAGCTTTCTTAACAGCTCAACTATAAATAAAACGATCGCTACTAGCCTTTTAAAAGTTAAGAATTATGTTGTTGTGTAATACTGATTGAAAGAAAAAAAAAAAGATTTGAATGTGCGTTAAGAAAAAGCAGTATACGTATGCCTGTCTGTGGAACTACACTTCCCAGAATGCTGTAGCAGCCATTGACTGACAAGGCATGCTGGGAATTTTAGTTCTTCAAGGGTCAAAGTACTAACTGCTCAATCCTACCTATGTTATGTGTTCTCTAGCACCACCTACAGGCTGCACTACTGTGACCTTTAAAAAGGGGTTTGAGTCATCAATGGGGATGACATTCAGAATCCAACAACGGAAAGCAATGCATCTATGACATTATTGCTACAAGGATGTCCCACGCAGTTCCTTTCAGGAATAAGAGAAGTAAGACACAAAACCCAGATATGACGTCTATATAGACAACAATAGCAAAACCAGACTGATAGCGTTTCATAGTTTACACATTTAAATACACATGAGCCTATAAAAATGGCTCTACTGAAAGAAAATGGTTGTCAAAAAGTTGAGTTCCAATGAATTAATTCTCAGAAACTAAGCAGTAAAATACTTTTCGGGAACCAGTTAATAGAGACTGATGGGGATACCACTGGTCTCAGCGAGTCATTGACCAGCAATACGTATGTAGTGGAGTTAGCAAATCTGACATGCGTATTCCATGCCATTGACTCACTAAAGTAGTGAAGATGCGACAAGGGTAGCTTTCTTGGAGTCCACACATCAAAAGCATCCCATATTTATATTGTACCAAGTTACCTTTAGCAACGCAAGTTAAAGTAAGAAAAAAGTCAAAAATTGACTAAGTCCTTTGCAGCTCCTGGAAAACCCGTATGCTGGAGTGTGCTGCCTCCAGACCTGATAAAGCACTGTTTGTATGACACTTGGCCTCTCCACTGTTGTCAGTGCTGGGTTCTGTGGGAGGCAGACAATCAGTGCCTTTGTGTCACAAAGAAAGCACCTGTTGTCTTGGTGGAGAATCCCAAGGGGTTGAATTACTAAAGGCAAATAGACTGTGTGCTTAGCAAAGTGCAGTAGCTCCAGTGCTTAGTAAATGAGGTGAAGCTCAATCCCCAATCAGGAAAATAAAAAACACAGCATTTTTAGTTGCACATGATGGGATGATGGAAGTCAGTACAGTTGCTGCTGATTTACTAAGCTCTTGAGAAACTGCTCTTGCAGCGTGCAACTGCACTTTTACTAAAGGCAAATAGACTGTGCATTTTGCAATTACCTCCCATGTATCACAGAAGCTGGATGAATCAAGAGGTAGCACACTCCAGCAATTGGGTTTTTCAGGGTGTATTTTTCATGGAAGCTCTAGAGAATGGTAACCCCCAATTTATAATTTGATCCACTTTAAGCTGACAGACATGCAGTCTGGAGACATCAAGGGGTGTTCCATCCTTTGCTACATTTAAATGAATGGTCTTATACCTGCTCTCCATCTTTTCCAACTGCACTACTTTTTCCTACAAAATGCCTTCTGCTGATGTTAACTCATGTATTGATCTGCTTCTTGGGCTGCCACACCTATCAATACTTTCCAGAGTCTAGTTCATGGCAATGGAAATACACAGTTCATTGTGGGCTATTATGCAGCTAGAACACAACACAAAGAATTTAGCTAGTCACAAGTCACATCACAGAATGTACCCAAAAGTAATTGATGATCTTATTTATAAGAATGGAGAAAAAAAATGGATCAGTCTGATTTACAAGAAAATGTACATGCATCATCTATAGTGCAGCTGAGTATTCCTGTGGCCCTGAGCTGAGAATGGGGAAACTGAATTCTATGCACAATCTTTAGACAGGGACAGCTCTCTATGAACCTCTGGCCACACAGGCCTGATGTATCAACATTTTGTAAGAACTGGAGTCATGCCCTCAGCCAGCCAGGTTGATATTTGCAAGGCAGGTTTGAAGTGGTTGGCTGAAGAGAAGAAACTCCAGTTCCCAGTAAGATCATGGTGACACATTGGGCCTATAAAAGGTCAGACTTGCTCAGAAAATGATGTCAAGTCCAGAGAAGCTGCTTTTAGTTTCACCTCCCAGGAACCAGCTTGGGCATATAGAGTTCAAGTTCCACTTTCGAATAGTGTGCAAGTCTCCATTCAAACAGAGAGAGCCGAGGAGCTCCCGAGTGTTTCTGTCAAGTACAACACAGAAGGTTTCCATGATTTATCTACTTTAAAAAAATGCTTACAGAACATATAGGCGATGATCCAATATTCAGTGTGGCAGTGCAAAGAGAGCAGCCAACAACCATCAAATCTGTCATGTTAAAGCAGGGGCGTCAAATTGGCAGCCCTCCAGCTGTTGTGAAACTACAAGTCCCATCATGCCTCTGCCTTTGGGAGTCATGCTTGTAACTGTCAATCTTGCAATGCCTCATGGGACTTGTAGTTTGGCAACAACTGGAGGGCCGCCAGTTTGACACCCGTGCTTTAAAGGAACCTCGTTAGAACCGCTGTCACAGCTAAAAGATATCAACCTCTAGAGGTTGGAGCAGACCCGGCTCTAAATCCCTAAAGTGGAGCTAGTACCTGGGGAATGGGGGTTACCGAGCATAAATGCTCAGCCCCAGAATCAGCGGCTTCTGAAATTTTTTAAATGTCCAGATGAGAGCCCCAGCTATAACAAGAAATCATGAAAAGTTCCTTTTAGAAAATAATTTCCGACAGACGCAAATCTTGCACATGCTCACAGCTTTTAGAGGAACACAAGTCACAGTAAAAAGGAAAGAACAAAAGCCTAAAGATCACACATGACAATCAATCAGAAACTATAAATAAAATAAACCTTAAAATATTTTTGTAAAGGGCATCAGTGATGGCTGTTAGATCACCTGCATGCGCGTTGGTGACATCACATTTGAAAATGTCAGCACAAGGGAAAGAAAGAAGAAAAAAAAAAAAAAAGACTGGATGACGGGAAAGAAAAAACAGGAACCAACCAATCATGTTTCAAGAATCAAAAACACGGATTGTTTGGGTATGGCGCCTGCAGTTCAAACACGACCGGTTATCAAAAATTCATATAGGATGTGTTGCTGGTAACAGCTCATTAGCTGTAACTTAGTGAAAGACATTAAGGAGAAGGTGGACGTGCCTTAAGAGAGGCCTTTGGTTTGTGCTCAACTAGTAAAGTGCATCAGTCATGCGAAAAAGCCACTTTCAAGTTCCCAAAACTGTCAGTTTGTATTGCTTGTAGTGAACTGTAGAGCTGACACAGGCCAGCAAAGCTGCAGCAAGGGCCAAAACTGACAGCTACTAGGTAACTTGGGGTACTTTTCCAATGACAGATATCTGAATAGAAGAAACATACTTTTAAAACAAATAATGTAATTATAACTTTCAAAACGGACGTGTCCATAGTTTTTCATTAAAATATTTCCTCTGTATTATAAAATCTGTTATAAAACCATATTCCACTCTTTGTTTGAAAAGACATCAGAATATTTAATACAGGAAGTGGGCATTTTTTATTCCTGCTGATTGGCTGAAGGACAGTATCCACGAGGCTGTGACACCATTGCCGAATCAGAGGTACACGAACATGCTCACCCGTGTATTAAAAGTGGGGGATACAACAACATTTACTTACAAAGGAGGTGAAAAACTAGTGATTGTCTAAAGAGTGCAGATGTGAGGGAACGTGCAAGAACATTATGGGATGGTTTCTGGGTTATATCTACATTAAAAAGGTGGCAGCAATAGATTAAAAGGCAGTTCCCCTTCACTAAAGGGGAAATTCATTTCATAAAAACACATGCCAGGCTCCCTAGACAGGGTGGGGACCAAGCTTGCCAAAAGAGTTCCCTAAATCCCTGTAATTAGGTTACACTGGGCTCCCCACAGGGCCTGGCAACTGATAGCTTATCTGAGGCCTAGCTTCCTATTTTAAGAATTTATTCTGAAATGTCCATAGTTCTAAAATAAATAGATTCAGGAAAGGCTCTTGCGCTTCTCAGCATTGGCATATCTGGGCAGCAAGGACGTGCGGGAAAGCTGGCTGCGTCTGGCGTTGGTGGCGAGCCGCTGCTGAGCCAGGAATGATTGGGCGCCACTGGGGACCTGAGTCCTCTCATCTGTGACCTTCTGCTGGAGTGCCATGCCCTGGAAAGAAAGGTAAGCTTCCATTAAAGTGTACCTGTAGTGGCTGCAAGGGTCAAACTGAAACTTGACTTCAACAGTAGACACCTCCAGAATGCTACGAAGGCCCCCAAACCTGCTTGGTTATGCAAATACCATCTTCAAGTAGGAAGTCATCATATTGTCTCACCCTCTCGTGTGCCAGAATACTGCCCCGTATTTATAGCATGCAACCTCACAGACCCAGGAGGCAGGTCTATGGCTGAAGATGGAGTATGCAAAACACAGCTCCTCCAGACTGCGGGACTTGGGACATGGGACTGCTGCAGGAATACGACTACCTTTACTAAAGGGCTGCTTTAATTCATCAGTGGCATAACTGTACAAACTATAGAGGTTGCAACTAAGCCTGAGGAGGCCAGAGCTTCCACCCGTAAATGGAGTTCTGAGGCCTCTACACACTTTTGTTTGGAATGGGACATTCACACTGTGACAACACCGCACACTTATTCCCAAATGAGTCTCTCACTCACCATATTATACCAGGCACTTATTATAAGTTTTTCTTCTTGGTCTCGCTGGGATTTTGTCTTCTCAAAGTCGTTCTGTAAAGAAGAGGGCAAAAAAGGACAAGTGCAATCTTAAAATCGTTTAAAGAGGGCTAAAGGAACAAAAAGGGAAAACAAAGATCATTCACAGCAAAGCAATTGTTTTTGGCATGGTGTACGAAGGGCAAAAGTTACTGGGATGATGTTTATGCGTCCTTGTGTGAGAAAACAGATCACTGACCTGGATGGACACTGGACGGGTTTGAGGGTCCTGAGTGAAATATCCTTACTATGAAATATCCTAGCTTAACCCCTTCATGCCTGAGGGTAAAAACAAATCTAAATGCCTAAGTACAATTTTGCAACGTTGACCTGTGTTAGTAAAACCGTCCATATCATCACAACTACTTTGTACATCCGGGTGGATTATACCTTGATTTTTTCAGGACAAATTGGGCTTTCATTTGGTGGTAAATGGTAATGGATATCTCCTGATTTTTTTTTATTATCAAAGGAAAACTGGCCCAAAATAGTAAAATAAAATAATTTTTTTTTTACTGTGTGTTTCTTGTTACTACCATAACCTACCACCAAAGAACAACCCAAAATAAATTCTCCAGCTCTTGACGATCGCAGCGATACCATATATGTGTATGTTATTTGTTGTTTGTACCCGTAGTACAGCCCAGAAACAATAGTGCACATTTTGTTTTTGTCTTTTTTTTTTTTTTACCTAAAACACACTGACATTGACACTAACTGACCCCAATTTGTTTTTTTAAAATCCTGACCTTTGACCCTGACCTTGCCCCAAACACGAACCCTGGCACTGAACTAGATCAAACCTTGATCTAGGTATTTTTCTTTATTTCTTCTTTTATTTTTTAAAATTTATCATCTTTTTTTTTTTTTTTTTTAACAAACATTTTTTTTTCTCTTTATGCCAGGAGTTAGAGAAATACAATGTATAATATGATGTATATAATGATACAATGTATCTCTCTCCTCCATTCATAGAGAGAGAAAAAAAAAAACAAGGGGGGCGGGCTGTACAGTGACTGATCACTGTGGTAGCCAATCAGAGGCTATCACAGCGATCATGTGACCCAGAATCGGGAGTCCTGGGTCCCGATCGTTAGGTGCTCTCAGTGACACCACGGTCTTTGTGCTGGGAGTGCGCCCAGCACAAAGACAAGTACTTAAATATGCGTCCCCACGGAAAAAAGCCCAGTTCCATGAGGCCGCATATTTGTGTGACGTCAGCGTCAAGGGGTTAAAGTTGAACTCTAACATTTCAACCCTGCCTCCTGTCCCCCCCCCCCCCCCCCACCTCCCAAAGCCCCTCCGTCAGTCTTTTTTATTTAAAAAAATATTATATGCATACTTTTTTTTTTTTTTTTATAGCCTTCTAAGCTGGTCTGGTGAAGTCAAGGCAGCTTCACACACAGTCCAATCCTAGAGAGTCTGGCCTATAGGAAACAACCCCTGGAGGGAAGGCTGGGCTCACAGAAAAAGGGTAGAATGACACGAGTGTCGCTGTGCCTGAACTGGACTGTTACTGCTCACTGAGCAGGAAGTCAAGGATGGTGCTGGAGCATGGAAAGGGTAAAGTAAAGATTGAAGATACAAGAAAAATCCTGCTGCAAAAATCACCTCGTCTCCAGCACCGTCTCCAACAGAAAATCTACTCTGCTGCTGCTCCTCTTTCAAGTTAAACAATGGCCAGCATTGTTCATCCTACTTCCTACAAGCAGGGGCGTATTTACCACAAGGCAAACAAGGCATTTGCCTAGGGTGGCATTTTTTAGGGGGGCAGTAGTGCTCCCTGGTAGAAGGGACATATGCGGCATGGGGACAAAGTGGGATCCGAGAGAGGCTGCGGGCTGCTTGAAGGTGTATGCAGAGCCCAACTGTTATTCCCAGGAATGCCCAGAGCTGTGAAGGTGAGTGTCTCTCTTTCGTTGGGGGTGGGGGGTGGTGTGAGTGTGTTAGTGGAAGGCTGTCTCGGGGGGGATGTGGAGTGTCCAATTTTTGTGTTGCCTAGGGCGACAAAACCTAAATACACCACTGCCTACAAGCCCAGGCTATCGTGGACACGCTCTTATGGTCAACCTGGTCCTACAGTACAATACAAGAGCCGCACTGGCATTATCATGTAAGTGATTTGCTTATCAACACTGAAGACCAGCCATTGTCGCCAAAGGTGAAGAAAACAAATAACCTTTACGAAGTCACATGGCCACCCCTAAGACAAGTCAATTTATCTTCCTTATAAGGGGAATTTGTTTTAGAAATATGAGCAACCAGAACTGCTTAAACTAGGGGTGCCCAACCCATGAGCCACATGTGGCCCCCGAAGCCCTCTGATATGGCCTGCGACCTTAAACCAGGGATTCTGGTTTCCGCAATCTGGGCTTGCCAATCTACCACCCAGAACATCACAGTGCAGCTGGAAGAGGGAAAAAAAGGTCAAGTATTAAACACATAGCCCGCACTTTTGCAATGGACATCGCACCTTTAAAAAGGGTTAACAACTATTACACCGCTTTCACACTGATACGAAGGGTACGGCATAGTGCACCTGCACGTTTCCCTGCGGGTCAACTGCACTGAGCCATAGACTTCAATTATACCCTGCGGGTTTGGTGTGTTTTCTGAAAGTGCACCACACCCACAAGATATAATAGAAGTTGATGGCATGGCATAGCGCAGCTAACCAGCTGCAGGTGCACCGCAGCAGATCAGTGTGAAAGCAGCCTTTTAGGGGGCAATGGATAATAAGGGCTTGTTTACATTTGGGCAGGAGGGACGGTGGGGGGAGGCAAATACGGGAACAGGTCCTCTGCATTTTCCTCCTGTAACTGCTGAATTCTGGCTTCGCCTCCTCTCCCTCCCGCCAGCATTTAGCAGCTGCAGGATGAAAATGTTTATTATGCTCACAAGACCTTCTCTCTAGTTCCCTGGTCTCCTCCTCCCATGCCCGCCTCCAGGACTTCTCCAGGGTGTTACCCATCCTCTGGAACTCCCTGCCCCAACCCATCAGATTATCACCTACTCTCCTCTCCTTTAGACGCACCCTGAAAACCCATCTCTTCAGGGAAGCCTACCCCACCCCCTGCTAACATGCCGACCTCCTCCACTCTTCCTACCACTCCATCCCCCACAGCTATCTCCTCCTGTACCACTATCCCCTCCCTCCTAGATTGTAAGCTGGAAAGAGCAGGGCCCTCAATCCCCTCATGTTTTGCATTGTATTGGTATTGTTCTGTCACATGTTCTGTCCCCCTTTGTAATGTACAGCGCTGAGCAAACTATTGGTGCTTTATAAATACTGTATAATAATAATAATTATGCCATTCAAAATAAAAAATTCAAAATTTACTCTTTTCTGTTCATATAGGTGCTTGCTCACCTCTAAATGCCGTATACGCATCTGCTTCTCTTGCAACTGGTTCTTTAAGGCCTGGATTTCAGGAGGGATGTAATTCTGCTGTCTGGGCTCCAAAGTCTTAATAACCTGCACATACAATAAATATCAGTAATGGTACTGCAGACTAATGTAAACCATTACCAAGTAATTTGGACCATCTGATAATTATTCCACAATATGGCAAGAGTAATATTAAAATAGAAGGACTAATAAGCTAGGAGAAAAAAATTAAACGGAAAACGGATATCGGTTATAAAAAAACAAACAAAAACAAAACAAAAAAAAAACATAAAAAGGGGGGACTGGACAAAACTAAAATATAATACACTTAACAGGACTATATGTTTGAGAAAACCAAGCCAGGCTGAAAATTCAGCCTTTAGGTCTCATGCACATTAAGTATCAAAGATGTCGCTTTTAAGGGTGTTTGAGTTTTTTTCCTGACTTTAAACGCCCCTCTATGTTAGCCTACGTCACCATGCACACATAGGCGTTTACAGGCAGAAAATAAAACAGAGCCAGAGACTTCAGGGGAGGAGAGTTTTGCCGCCAGATACACCTGATGTACCTAAATGCTTGTAAAAGCGCCTAAATAACTTCACCTTTTTAAAAAAAACTATAAATGCACTTTTTTTGCAAATAGAAAAGTGTACATTTATTTATTTTTTTTTAGAAGCCTGGAAAGCATTGTTCCCACGATCAGCAGATCACTAATGCCATGCAGGACTCCTGCAGACTGTCAGTGTAAAATATCTGCCCATACATCGTATGGACGGCAGTTTTATACTGACAGAAAGAATCAATGAACTACCAGAGCGCTCAACAGCACCGTGGCAGTTCAGTGAGAACTACAAGCTGACAGCTGCAAAGGTTGTTGGTACTTGTAGTTCATTCATTCAACAGAAATGACGCGGCCGTGTGGGCAGAGCCCCGTACGGCAGAGTTCTTTTCAAAAAGTGACAACTGGTGCGGAGAACATACTGCTGTCACACAGAAGGATCGGATCTCCAAGAGGCTGCAGGAGCAGGAACATATTACATGTTCCACCTGTTTTTAGGGTGGACTATGTAACATGTTTGCAAAAATGAACTTATCCTTTATGCTGGGCTCCTCCCACAGCTCTGCTTTCTGCACAAGTTATGTATAGCACAGTGATGATGCCACAACTTTTATATTGTAATTTCTGGGTTTTCAAAAGTGCAAACAAAATGAGCATAGTGGCTACATGGTTAGCACTTCTGCCTGGTAGTACTAGGGTCATTGGTTCAAATCCCAACCACAGCATAGTCTGCCTGGAGTTTGCATGTTCTCCCTGTGCCTGCATGGGATTCCTCCGGGTACTCCGGTGTCACGGTGCACCCTGTGCCTGCTGTCCCTCTACCTGTTCCTTCACCCCTCCCTCCCCCTTGCAGATTCCTCACATCCTGTCACCGCCTACTTCAAAGGCTGTGCAGGATGGGAGGAAGCAGCCACTGTGGTGCGGGTGACACCTCTCCCGGCAATGTCGCTGGAGAGTCGCGACCCCCCACCAGGAGACCTCTGGCGCAGGCCGCTGGGATGTCTCAGTGCGTCCCCCCCGGCGAGCGCAGCAGGGGCACGAGGCTTCCCACGCTCTGTGCCCGCCGGAGACAAAGGCCGCACTCACGAGAGCGTGGCCCGAGTCGGGTTGGGGGGGGGGGGGGCGGCCGGAGCGGGACCCAGCCTGTGAGTTCGTCCCCCGCTCAGGAAAGGGTGCTGTGTTAGGTCTGAGCTGAGGCCAGACCCCACAACCAAGACCCTGCCGAGTCCCTGCAAGCTGTTGATCCCCTGCTCGAGAAGAGGAGTACTGTGTGGGGTCTGAGCTGAGGCCAGACCCCCACAGCCAAGACCCCGCTGAGTCCCTGTGAGCCTGCTGTTGTCCCCGGAAAGCTGAGCCCCATGAGGATCCCTGTCTGCTGACCGCTGTCCCTGGAAAGCCGCCTGCTGCTGAGTGTCCCTGGAAGCTGCCTGCTGCTGAGTGTCTGCAAGCCGCCTACCTTGAGTGTCTCTACAAGCCGCATGTTGCGGAGTGCCCTGAACTGCCCCTATTGTGTGCCCAGATTATCCTCGTCTGAACTGCCCCTATTGTGTGGCAGGACTAATACTTGCTTGGACTGCCTATTGCGTGTCTGGAGTATCGTAGCTACCTGGACTGCCCCGAGTGCTCGGGTCATCGCTACCTGAATCGCCCTAGCGTGGACCGGATTATAACTGTTTGGACTCCTCCCCCCTCTTCTCCCCTTTTTTTGGGTACCCGGACGCTACCTTCCTACCCTGATTAAGTGCCTTCCATAGTTCAATAAAGCTTTGTGTGTTTACCATCTTCTTTGTGCGTTCTGTCCCGTCTACGCTTCCGTCACATCCGGTTTCCTCCAACACTCCAAAGACATGCTGGTAGGTGAATTGGCTCCTGTCTAAATTGTCCCTAGTATGTGTATGTATGAATGTGAGTTAGGGACTTTAGATTGTACGCCCCTTGAGGGTTAGGGACTGATGTGAATGTACAATATATATGTAAAGCGCTGCGTAAATTGACGGCGCTATATAAGTACCTGAAATAAATATCCTTTATGGGTATTGAGAAATAAATTTAAGTACATGAGTTTGTGCCTGGAGTTCAACTTTCAAAATGTGCGCCTGTGACAGATCTGTCTTGTGCCAATATCAAACAAACTATCCCATTTCAAGACTGCAAGCTGCTGGCTGCTTTACTTTTTATGTGTATAGTTAAAAGCAATCATTTTGATCCCAAACACATCAAGTGGTAGGATACCCTGACATATATAAATGATTCTTTATTTTACATAAAGTAGGGGGGTATACCTTTTCTCTGAAGAGCACCACACCAACACATTTTTCATAAGCATCATCTCCTCCTGTGCCACCATCCCCTCCCTCCTAGATTGTAAGCTCGAAAGAGCAGGGCCCTCGATCCCCTCATGTTTTGCATTGTATTGGTATTGTTCTGTCACATGTTCTGTCCCACTTTGTAATGTACAGCGCTGAGCGAACTATTGGTGCTTTATAAATACTGTATAATAATAATAATAAGCGTAACAATTACTTGCAAGCAATCAGCTGTGGTTATTCGTGTAGTGACTGTGTACTTTCTAACACAAAATCAAAATGGGCTGTATATTAACTGCAGCGCCTCCCTCCAATGGCCCAGAACGATGGCCTATGCACAGCTACTGGGGTGTTAATGGCACAGGTGGGCAGTGTTAAGACATGATCCTTGAGCACCGAAGGCAAAAAGGCTAAAGTGCACCCTCCCCCCCCCCCATAAGCTGTGAACCAGTTCAGCAACATAGGTTGCAGACTCTACCCTTTCTGTACTACTCTTTTGCTGAAGAGCTCAAGGCAGCCATCTCTTCTGTTTATCTCCCAACCCTACTCTGAAAACTAGACACTGTCTATTTTGGAACGTGTGAAACACCAATAGTGTTTTTGGAATCACACAGTTTTCACAAACTGTTGGTTGCGGATGTGGGAACAGCCATGACTGTTGAGCAGGCAAGTGTGAACCTTGCCGTATTGAATAACAGATTAATTGATGTGCTAGCAGCCTCACCTATAGCAATTAAAAATAGGAGTAAGGGAGATTTTATACTGTTCATAGCACAATTGTAGTATGTGACCACAGCTTAGCTAAACTATTATGCAACACATTTATATGAGGTCAGTCGAAGATTTTAAATGTTTAGCTGGGCTTATTGCCACTATGGCAAGCAGAAGCTTTGTGTCTCATATTCAAAGCCTGGATTGGACACCTGACCCTTTTATGCAGTCTGCAAGTGTCTAAAGGAGGACCTGTGGTCCATAGCCATCATAATTTCATGTCTGCAGTGAGGGAGAATAAATGGCAGAATCCAATTTGCTACACTTAGAGTAAATAAAAAACAGTACTTGAGAAGGTCTATTAAAAGAATCATAGATTTACTCACTGTACGGGCTTTTTCCACATATCTCTTGTACCTCTCCTCCATGGCCCGCATGTCGTCTTCCTTCTGCCGCAGGATCTGCTGTAACTCATCCACCTTCTTGGACACTGAAGAAACACAGCCAGGCTTACAAGTCACCACCGATGTACTAAATACACCCTTAGACTAGTTACTAATTGATAAACCGAATTAAAGAGTAAACTAAGGTAGACGGCCAAATACCCCATCTGCATGGAGTCTGAATGTTCTTTTCGTGCCTGCTCTAAATGAGTGTGTGTGTGTGTGTGTGTACGTGTGTGTGTGTAGGTGCGTGGGTGTGTGTGTGTGTGTGTAGGTGCGTGGGTGTGTGTGTGTACGTACGTGCGTGTGTGTGTAGGTGTACGTACGTGCGTGTGTGTAGGTGTACGTACGTGTGTGTGTGTAGGTGTACGTACGTGTGTGTGTGTAGGTGTACGTACGTGTGTGTGTGTGTAGGTGTACGTACGTGTGTGTGTGTAGGTGTACGTACGTGTGTGTGTGTAGGTGTACGTACGTGTGTGTGTGTAGGTGTACGTACGTGTGTGTGTGTGTAGGTGTACGTACGTGTGTGTGTGTAGGTGTACGTACGTGTGTGTGTGTGTAGGTGTACGTACGTGTGTGTGTGTGTAGGTGTACGTACGTGTGTGTATGTAGGTGTACGTACGTGTGTGTGTGTAGGTGTACGTACGTGTGTGTGTGTAGGTGTACGTACGTGTGTGTGTGTGTATGTGTACGTACGTGTGTGTGTGTGTAGGTGTACGTACGTGTGTGTGTGTAGGTGTACGTACGTGTGTGTAGGTGTACGTACGTGTGTAGGTGTACATACGTGTGTGTAGGTGTGTGTACGTGTGTGTAGGTGTGTGTACGTACGTGTGTGTAGGTGTCGGTGTACGTACGTGTGTGTATGTACGTGTGTGTAGGTGTAGGTGTACGTACGTGTGTGTAGGTGTACGTACGTGTGTGTAGGTGTACGTACGTGTGTGTAGGTGTAGGTGTACGTACGTGTGTGTAGGTGTACGTGTGTGTGTGTGTAGGTGTACGTACGTGTGTGTGTGTAGGTGTACGTACGTGTGTGTGTGTGTAGGTGTACGTACGTGTGTGTGTGTAGGTGTACGTACGTGTGTGTGTGTAGGTGTACGTACGTGTGTGTGTGTAGGTGTACGTACGTGTGTGTGTGTGTAGGTGTACGTACGTGTGTGTGTGTGTAGGTGTACGTACGTGTGTGTGTGTGTAGGTGTACGTACGTGTGTGTGTGTGTAGGTGTACGTACGTGTGTGTGTGTGTAGGTGTACGTACGTGTGTGTGTGTAGGTGTACGTACGTGTGTGTGTGTAGGTGTACGTACGTGTGTGTGTGTAGGTGTACGTACGTGTGTGTGTGTGTAGGTGTACGTACGTGTGTGTGTGTAGGTGTGTGTACGTACGTGTGTGGTGTGTGTACGTACGTGTGTGTGTGTGTGTGTACGTACGTGTGTGTGTGTACATATATGTGTGTGTGTGTACATATATGTGTGTGTGTGTGTGTGTGTGTACGTACGTGTGTGTGTACGTGTGAGAAGGACCTCAGATTGTAAGGTATTTGAGAGCAGGAAATGAAATGAATATACAGTATGTAAAGTGCTGCATAAATGGTCAAAGCTATATAAAATGTCTGTAATAAGTAAATAAATACATACAGTTTACCGTTTCACCTCCCAAAATATCTGTAATCCTGGCCAGCTGTTCTTGTGATATATAAACCTCTGCTAGTCAGAATGACCACTCTGCTACTTTCTGGTTTACAAAAAATCTTTCTTGAGTCACTTCTCTGCTCATAGGACAAAGGTGATGATGCTGTTTAATTTACTCACAGTATGATTAGGCAAGAGATGGAGAAGGGATAAGAAGACTCATAGCTGCACCAGAAAGCTGAACTACTGAACCAGAAATGGTGTGTCACTTGTCTGGCTGTGTGTTGTGAAAGAGGTGCGACTGGCTGACCAAAATGAAAAAGGTGATATCCACTTACTGTTCAGGTCAGATTTGGGCTCCAGGGTCTCTATGTACTCTCTCTTCTTCTGGAGCTCAGAATGAGCCTCGTGTAGCATCTCACTGAGAAAGAAAAAGAGAATGTGAAAATTCTTTCACTAAGTGTTTTAAGCTCTTGCACCTCTTTCACTTGCCAATGTGTACAAAAGCTGCCGCTATACATGAGCTGTTCAGCTTACAAGCACCTCAGGGTGCGCAAACATTGGACAAAACTCCAATCTGTTCCCAGTGCCACAAATATTCTCTGCCATCTTGCCTCTCAAATAGTATAGAGAAGGTGAAGCCAGGCTGCCAAACGCAGGCCGCACATAAGGCACTTCCATCTTGGTTCAGTCTGCCTATGCTGAAGCTCGAAAGAGTAGGGCCCTCTTACCCCTCGTACGTTGTTTGTTATTGTTGTACTGTGCCATGTATTGTCCCCCCTATATTGTACAGCGCTGAGCAAACCCTTTGGCGCTATATAAACTCGATGTAATAATAATAATAATAATAAGCTGTACATTTTGCAGAAAGGAGGAAGAGTTTGTAATGTCAGTAGGGGTTACATGGGATTTCGGATCATGTGATAGCTGTGACTGGAGGTGACAGTGCTGGGGAGAGTATGAACTATGCAAAAAAATTTAAATAAATAAATTGACGCTGATAAAATGCATATAAAAACAATGGATCTCAAACACAAGGCCAAGAAAACTCTCAATTGGTTTCAAAGAAAGAAAATAAAGCTGCTAGAATGTCCCAGCCTGACTTGAATCCAATAGAAAATCTACGGAAAGAACTAAAGATTAGGAGTTCATAGAAGAGGCCAACGGAACCTTCAAGATTTGAAGAGTTTTATTTTACCTTGTGATTCCATTTTATTACACATAAATAGTACATAATTACAACTTCATTTCTGAACTTAATTTGTTTTGGTTTTCTTTGTATGTATGGATTGCATGGGAGGTTACTGACATGTGGTGAAAATTTCATGTCAATAGCACCTTTAGAAATATATCTACCGGGAAAAATGGTGACGTCTTTAATACTTATTTTACCGCTGTATCAAAAACATAAATAAGACCTGCCACATATAAAACTATTTGTGAACATGATGTGTTCAGAGGTCCTAGAACTTTCAGCACATTAGATAGTACAGGGAAAGCAAAGACGGTGTGAAATAAGGAACTTATAAAAACAAAACAAGGAGCTCCAAACTGTAAAATATATTTAGCATTCTGTCAGAGCTGGTTCTGGTCACTGGTCTAGCAGCCTCAACCAAATGGGCTCTAAATAAATTCTCATTAAAAAACTCCAGGACGTCAAACATTTGTCCATATCCCCCTCTCAAGCTCTGACGAAGTGCACCTCAACTGAAACCCTTTACCATTAGCCGCCTGGCCTATAGCCATTTGGCGGCCTCAAAAACGCTTTAGCTTTCTGGGTGCACGCCATTTGGCGTGCTCCCGCACACGCGCAGTTCGCACGGTTGCAGAGCCGCGCAGCGGCGCAATCTGTCACCGGCCGTGTACCTTGGACACGGTCAAAGACAGATCTGAGTACCGGCCCCCGTTGCCAGTACCATGTGACCTGCTGTGACCAATCACAGCAGGTCACATGACAGTTGTAAACAATGGATGGCTTCATTCATGCCATCCATTGTATACTAGTGCCTAACTGTGAATAGTCACAGCAGGTCACATGCACATGTCATGTGATTAGCTGTGGCCAAATCACAGCTAAGCACAAAAAAAAAACAAAAAAAAAAACCTGAATGAATCGATGTCATTCAGGTAAATGCTTGCTTATAGCAAAGTAATTCTTTGCTATAAGCAAATTGTGTAAAAAAAAAAAAAAAAAAAAAAAAAAAAAAAAAATACTGATCACTTCCCCAAAGTAGTACAATGTTACTATGGTAACATTGTACTACTTTGGTCATAGTAAAATCTGAAAAAAAAAATCTGAATAAAAAAAAATGTAAAAAAAAAAAAAAAATATATATATATATATATAATTTTTTTTTTCATACTGTCACCAGTCAGTGTCCCTGATCACCGCCATGCCAGTTATATGATGACGCTGTACTGCACTGGTGACAGTATGTAAAAAAAAAAAAAAAATAGCGAAAATCATTTTTTTAATTTTTTAATTTTCCGAAAAATTATGACAAAAAAAATACAACTTCAAAAAACTCGCCATTCCTCTTATGAAGTACGTCGGACTGTCTACTCTGCAAAAAGGGGTCATTTGGGGGATATCTGTACTGTTCTGACATTCTTGGACCTCAAGAAATTAGATTGGCTGTCAGTACTTCAGGAATGATCAATATTCAGATCTATACCATAGTTTGTGAACTCTATAACTTTCCTACAAACTAAAAAATACATCCTAATTTGGGTTATTTTCACCAAAGACATGTAGCAGAATACATCTCGTCCTAAATTTATGAAGAACAATTATTTATTTGTAAACTTTTATAACAGAAACAAAGAAAAATGTCTTTTTTTGTTAATTTAGCAAAAAATAAAAACCCCAGCGGTGATTAAATACCACCAAAAGAAAGCTCTAGTTGTGTGAAGAAAATGATAAAATTTTAGTTTGGGTACAATGTTGTATGACCGCGCAATTGTCATTCAAAGTGTGAGAGCGCTGAAACGTGAAAACTGGCCTGGGCAGGAAGGTGTAAAATTGCACGGTATTGAAATGGTTAAAAGGTGTTGACTTTTTTTTACACCAAAACTTTTACTATGACAAATAAAGAATCACTTCCTGGCTGTCATTTTCAGTTTGGCACTCTCACTTCTAACTTATGCTAAGGCTCCTCAGGCATTAGAGAGTTGCCTCAGTATAAATGTACCTACCTAGATTGGAACACTTAAGCTTGAAGACCAATGCTTCACGACTCCATTCTCATAATGAAGTATGGAATTGGCCCTCACATCGGTAGTACCGAGAAGGGCTGCTTGCTATTTCATCTTCTAAAAGTGAGGGAAATCTGCTCTTAGACAGTTGTCATTGGAACTGCTGTCCGCACTGGAAGATTTCGACTCACTTCCTGTTCTCGTTTTAACTGTCAAAGTCTGGATTTCTCATCACTTATTGTCCAGATGATAATGGTCACAAGGACTAATAAAGGAGAGAATCAACAAGGTGGGGACACAGGACAACAATAGAAAAACCTGTGGTTCCAACATTTCTGCGCTATCATAAAATGGACTTTTGTTCAGCAGGTTTACACTTACAGATGTTCCTCCAGCTTCCTTTTCAGCTGTGAAGACTGGAAAAGAAAGAAGATATGTCAGAGTCACATACGTGATTTAAACATTAGAATCACACAAGCAGTACTTACATCTTCAGCACGATTGCCCTGTTCCCGCAGCTGTCTCTGGAGATCCTCCAGCTGAGCCCGCAGCTCCTGGATCTGCTGATGATTCAGTCTGAAACAAGATCAAAGCCAAAGTCAGAATGAATGAAACCTGCAGTGAGAGATAAACAGGGCCAAAATGCAGGTTCTTAGCGGCCTTTGGCTACAATCGTTTCACTGACCCGAAATATGAATGCAGATTAGAAAGTAAGAAATCCTCATGTTTGAGCACTGCATGGCAGTGAAGCAGGGCAATCAAATAGCGAACATTTGCTGATGCAGAGATCAGCTATAGCATGTTAAAACATTTCCTCAGAATAAAGTTTTGTTTTTTTTAAACAAAGTGGGCCCAATATCAGATACACTATGTAGCGAAAAGAAAAGCTTGAGGACCCCTGACCGTTGCATCTCCGTGAGCTTTTTGGATATCACATGCCAAAATCAAGTGCAGCAGACTGATGACATTATCTCAGCCTAGGCAAAGTCACTAAATAGATCTGAACAGCAGATTTCTAATGACAAAAGGCACAGCTTTTTGAAAAGGTGTACTACCACTGTATTTTGTGACACATCAAGAATTTATTCATGCAGACTTGTGTCACAGCTCCATTTTAATTACACTCATCTGTCTCATGACATTTAAAAAAAAAAAAAAAAATTAAAATAAAACAAAAAACAAAATACAAAACACACGAAAACAGATATTTGCTTCTTTCCCTTACCGATTCTCACTTTCCTGGCGGTTACGGGCCCGGTTTGATTCCTCCAGCAGATTCTGCAGCTCACTGAGGCGCTCTTGGTATGAGGCCTCTTGAACACACAGCATCTTATTCTCCTGCTGCAGCCGAATCACTGTCTCCCTGGAAGATATACAGGTTTTTAGTAGAATACATGACATGCAGGGCTGTATATACACCATACGGCATTTATGGTCAAATGCCTGGGGCTGCAGGATTAAAGCTGACCTGCCCCCACTAAACTGTACCTCACCCCCAGCTAATTTTTCAATGTAGTAATAAAAAAACAAACAAAAAAAAAATTCTGAGTCACAAATGTATACTTGAATCCAGGGTGGATAAAAATCAATGATTTATTTTTAAAAAAATCAAAAAAATCTGTTTTTTTTTTTAAATAAAATGCTTTTTGAGGAAAATTATTACCATCCAAAGGTTATTCCATCATGAAATAAAGATTAGTTTTTTAATTATGTAGAATAAGGCTGTATAGGTTTAATTTTTTTTGGTAAATAAATTCCATGAATCCATTCACAATGTCAGGCTCTTCCAGAGGTTTTTGTAAGATTATTGGGCAGTTTCTCTGCCTACAAGATATTATCACAGATGTTGGTTTACTTTTGCAGTTCTCAAAACTGAATTTGACTCAGCGAAGATCACATGCCTCTTCACAGCAAAAATGTTATAACATGAACAGAGTTAAGAAAAAGACCTTCATCCTAACTTCTACAAACCTATGAATACAGAATCAACCCCTTCAGTGCTAAGTTTCAAGAAGTTCAGTGAATAGAATAGAAACAATATTTTTCTGATTGTTTGGAGTGGAATAGATCTGCACAAGAAGAAAGTGAAACTAAGTGTGAGGAGGAAGGGGCTGACAGTCTAAGTTTCTTAAAATATATATATATTTTGTTTAGCCAAATTAGTTAACAAACATGGATGTTTAAGCCAATCACATATGCTGGAATGTTATTGTTTCAGATGAATAAATCTATTTAAATTGTTATTATTAAGGTAATGATTATTTTTCTCCTTCCTAAGTACAACAGAAAAGTTGTCCAAATATGAATGATTAACCTATTAAACTGGGGATAAAAAAAAACTAATATGAAAAGTTGTTATTCTAAAAATCTTCATCTACTTGCATATTAAAGTTATACCAGCAAGAATTAGTCTTTATGTAGAAAACTAGGATTTACATCAAGCCTTACTGACTAGTGATTTAAATCGGGATTTAAATCAGTTTGATTTAAATCAAATCCACCCTGCTTGAATCCATAGTTATTCTTCTTATTCTTATTCTTCTTATTTCTGGTCTGCAGAGTGGGTCAGTACTTCTTCAGGATCCCACATTGCTGCCTTGTAATATGGGCACTTCCTGTTGGTTGTCCATCGGTGGAGTCCTCACAGGTCTTGAAGAGTCCAGCGGTGGTGTGATGGCAATAATAATTTGTGAGCCCAAACTGCAGTGATGGATCATCACTCTTCACTCCGAGGAAGGGAATGGCACCATCAAGGGACATGTGAGCGCACCCAGGTGAGTTTTAAAATAAAAATCTAAAGCCCTTTGTCAAATAGGGGCTAACTCTGAACATCAAAATTAGACTAATTACTCTTTCCCAATTTTCCATCTTTTGTCTACCTGTAGACATTTGTATCTATAAATTCAGCTGTACCAGGGTGCAGGCAATATTGATGAGAGTCAAAAGGATTTTATAGTTGTGGAAACATTAACTCATCTCTCCTCTCTCTTGCATTGGTGGTGGTCTGTAAAACTGAAAAGAAGCTCTGCATACAGAACAGACCTCATGCTGGCTTCGGCAGCACACTCTAGTAATACTTTTTACTGAAATAATGACAGAACACAAGGGGCACAGCCTTACAAAAAGGGCAACCGCTTTCAGGTGTAAGTCTACATACAGCCCTGAGCAAGCAAGAGATCATGGGGTGGATTTACTAAAAGCAAATAGACTGTGCATTTTGCAAGTGCAGTTGCTCCAGAGCTTAGTAAATAAGGTGCAATCACATTCAAGGGAAAAAAACAAAAAACAAAAAAACAACAGCATTTTTGCTTGCACATGACTGGATGATGGAAGTCAGCAGAGCTTTACCACATTTACGAAGTTCAGGAGTAAATGCCTTTGCAGAGTGAAAATGCCTCTTTGCCTTTAGTAAATCAACCCCCATGTGTTATAAATAAAAATGGTTGCTTCTACTCTTTTCCCATAACAGCACATCACAGACAGACATTGCTGGACAGACTTACTTCAGTTCTGCAGGCAGGATCTCTGCTGCCAAATTCTCCACAGGAGGAGATGGCCAGAGAAAGAACATCTGCAATGGAGCAAAAAAAAAAAAACAACAAAAAAAAAAAAACAAAAAAATATTCACGGATAGGTCACAACTGAAAAAGACAACACCATAACAAACCATACAGCATCTACACTTATCTGAGATTGGTTAACCTCCCTAGTGGTCTGATTATGTCCATATTTCTGTGCTTAAAAGCGGTACTTTTTTTTTGCATTGAAATATTTTTTTTTTTTTTTTATTGTAGGCTGTAATTTTTTTAGGAATAATTCACTGAAATCTGTCCGAACAAGAGTCTAGTAAACATCCCGGGTATGATAAAACTTGAAAAACGAAATCATAAATTATAATTTAATAAATCATAAAAAATAATTATAATAATAATAAATTTAATTCAATAATATAATCAAACCAAAAACACTGAAATTTGAAATATAGCGCCAAGTTCGCACATCGCTGAGCTCAGTCGCTAAATCGTTTTCAGTGTCTGATGGCGAATTTCCCCCACGAATCATTATCACTCAATTCTGCAAGTGGTTCTAATTTACTATCGCTGTTCTCTAGCCGGTCTAAAATCGCTTTTGACCTAAAGGGACGCTTTTTGGACGCCATGGATGTTTCTCAGTTTCCAGGCAGAAAGAACAGTAAAAATGCAGGCAGGGCGCAGGACAAAGCACTCGGGACAAAATGTATGTGAAATGGTTTGATACAGTAATGTTTTACTATGTGATTTTAGAGTATTTATTGAATGTCACTTTTGACCTTTTCAAATTTCCCGCCGTTCCGTCCCCTGTACGTCCCGACACTCGCAGGGGACGGAACCCAGATGACAAATGCCGGCATCGGCCGGATTACATTGCTGGGGACACTGCAGGAGGGACATCGCGGGAGCGAAGGACAAGGTAAGAGAAGAACAGATCCCGGATCAGCGCTGCAGGGTATTCCTGAGTGTAGCTCGGGGTTACTGCTTGTGGTGCTAAAACTTTACCCCGAGCTACACTCGGGAATACCGCCAGGGGGGTTAAAGTAGGTAAAATGATGTTCACATAGAAGTTCCTGTGTTAATGGACAAATGCAGTGTGCTTTCAGGTGCATTATGCACAAATTTGAGATCAGTTTCAGATGCTTTTTAGATTCAGATATTAACCTGACCTGAGGTTTGACCTGAGGTTCCCAATATAGGGCAAAGCAATGGGTTCACTGTAATGCTGCCTTCCACTGACAAATATACCTTCCTTTTACTCCGCCACTGCTCCATTCAACCACTGGGCACAATAGAAACGTTCCGTATAAGCTACGAGGTAGTAAAGCACAGGTTTGCTTTATTTTCTGAATTACAACAGACTTTAACCAATTATAAAAAGTTAAGAGTTTTAATTTCAATGGCTGTATCCTCATTCCAAGTCAGTGAACCAATAAATTATTATTATTATTATACAGGATTTATATGGCGCCAACAGTTTGCTCAGCGCTTTACAATATAAAGGGAGACAATACAGCAACAATACAGTTCAATACAAGAGGGATAGGATGTATGCAGCAAAACCTTCACTGACACTATAATAAGTAAATACATGACTGGGGATGTTCAGCTGGTGAAATACCAGCAGGAGCATTTACCCCCCTTCCTGACCAGGCCATTTTTTGCGATACGGCGCTGCATTCCTTTGAATTTACGCAGTCATGCAATGCTGCACCTAAATTAAATTTCTGTCCTTTTTTCTTTTGGTAGTATTTGATCGCCTCTGCGTTTTTTTATTTTTTGTGCTATAAACAAAAAAAGGCCGACAATTTTGAAAAAACCCCCCCAAAAAAATGATATTTTTGCTATAAAACCTATCCTGTAAAAAAAAATCGAATGTCGTCATAAATTTAGGCCAAAATGTATTCTGCTTCATGTCTTTGTTAAAAAAAAAAAATCCCAATATGTGTAAATTAATTGGTTTACGTGAAAGTTATAGCTTTGTAGAATGATAGAATTTTTTTAAAAAACATTTTTATACTAGTAAAGGTGGCAATCAGCAACTTTTAGCGGGACTGGGGCGGGCATTCTGACACTAACTGCCACTGACTACCACTGGCATCCCCAGTGACACTTATACAGTGATCAGTGCTAATAAAAAGCACTGACACTGTACTAATGACACTGGGCAGGAAGGGGTTAAAATCTGGAACGGTTAAAGGGTTAACTGTATGCTGTGTGTTTTTCACATTGCTATGTTGTGTTTTACTGTGTAAGCATGCAGACGGTGAACATTACCTATAATCAACATGACAGTTATAATTTTCAGAATGAGGTCAGCCATGATCACCTGAATATCTCTCTCATAGGTTCCTTATAACTCACTGGAATGAAGGTAATTGGCTAAAGTGGTCACAGCCCCCTCCTGGCCACTTACCTCCCTGTACAAGGCATGTCTGCT